GAGCACTGAGCACGTGTGATAAGCCCCACCTGACTGGGGAACTTGGTGAGCAATGGTTCAGAGCAGAGCGGGGAGGCCAGCAGGGGCGGTGACACCGAGCTCCAGCCACGGCTGCCGCCTGTGAGTGTAGACTCTGATGTCACCTCTTCCTTTCTCTTCACCCAAGATAATCTAGAAATCTAGATTTGCACATAAAAAATCCTGTTTTTAAAAATGTTGACAACTGCTTGATATGTTTAAAAATACACCACAGAACAAATAAGTATGTCTGTATGTTTGCAAGAGGAAGCTGACGTATGAGTCAACAGTTTGGATCTGGAGCCAAACTAAAGTACCCCCGACGGCCCACTGAGTGAGAGGTGGGACCCGGTGATTGGGAGCGGGAATGGAAGATGGCTGCCTGGCTTTAGACGTGGACATCAGTCCATGTCATCCATTGGGATGGGGGACACACAGGAAGGAGCAAGTGGGGGAGAGGTATGAGTTTCGTCTTGGACACTGATCCTAAGTACTTGTGGGACATTTAGGAGGAGAGATTTAGCCTGGAGATACAGATTTCAGAAGCATCGCAGTGACAGAGCACAGGAATCTTTGGGAATAGCTGGGACAATCCAGGCAGAGCCAATGAAACAAGATTAGAAGGCTGTGGGTAATACCCTGGTAAACATCAATATATGGATATGGGGGTTAATTAAAAATGTTCATAAAGGAGGATGAGAAGGACTATTTAAAGAAGTAAGAGAAGAATGAGGACATTTTAGTATCAAGGAATTTGGGGAAGGAAGAAGGTTTAAGGAGAGAGCCATTAACTATGTCAAATGTTGCAGAAATCTCAGGCCAGCCAAGGGGTGGAACAATATCCACTAGATGTAGCTACAACATCTCATCAGAGGCACTATAGGAATAGAAAGTCATTGGTGCCCTGGCTGGATGTTCCGCTGGATGTTAGAGGCTCATCCTGATACACATTGAGGTTGCAGGTTCGATCTCTGGTCAGGGCACATACAAGAATCAACCAATTAATGCATAAATAAGTGAAACAACAAATCAGTATTTCTCCCTCTCTCTCTTTCTCTCTCTCCCCCCCCTTCTCTCTCTGTCTCTCTCAAATGAATTTTTTTAAAAAGGATGTCAATAGTATTTGGGGTCAAATCTGAACTTGGAATTCAGCTTTGCCACTTAGTGCATAACCTTGGACAGTAAAATACTTCTCAAAATTTCAATTTACTCATGCATAAAGTGGAGACCATAATATCTACATCACGTGGCTTTTGTGAGAATTTATGGTAAGCAAAATAAAGACTGTGTCCTCAGGTAGCTTATGTTCTTGTGGGAAAGATAGTCAATAAAGTTAATATATAATTTCAAGAAGTGACAGAAAAAGGCAGGAAGTAGTGTGAAGGATTATAGAGTAACTTGGGAGGGTGGGTAGTTTCTATTTTAACCTGGTAGAGAGGTCACATCAGAGAAAATGACATTTGACCCAAAATTTGAATGGAGGGAAAGGAAGACATCTGATAATCTAGGTAAAGCATAAAGGTCCTGTGGTAGGAATGGGTTTGCTCTGTTTCAGAATATTAAGAAAGTCTGTGTGGCTAAAGTAGATTCCCAATGTATAGGAGATGAATTTAGAGAAGTGAGCTGGCCATAAAAGGAGATTGAAATGTAAACTAAGAATTACAAGCCATTGGAGAGTGTTGAGTGAGCATGGAGGTGATGTGCAATGATTCATATCCTGAAGAGATCTGTTTTCTCTGTGGAGAATAGGATGCTGTTGCTGAGCCTGCAAGACGTGATAAAGGCTTGGGCTAGGTTGCAGTTGGGGAAATTCAGGATATATTTCGAATGCAGATTCAACAGGATTAGATGATGGACTGGATGTGGAGTGTGAGGACTTGACTTCTGGGTCTTTGGACCTAATCAACAGAGTGAATGGTGATATCATTTTTTTCTTTCTTTTTTTAAAAAAAGATTTTATTTATTTTTACAGAGAGGGGGAGGGAGAGAGAAAGACAAAGAGAAACGTTGATATGTGAGAGATACATTGATTGGTTGCCTCTTGCACACCCCCAGCTGGGGGCCTGGCCTGCAACTCAGGCATGTGCCCTGCCCGGGAGTGGAACTTGTGATCTTTCGGTTGGCAGGCCAGCACTCAGGCCACTGAGGCACACTAGCCAGGGCAACAGTAACATTTCTTAAGAAGGGTCAGACCTGTTGAAGTATGGGATTTTAAAATCTGAAATAAGAATCAGAGTTCTGCTCTGAACATGTTACATTTAAGAGAACTGTTAGACATCCAAGTGGAAAGTTAAGTAGGCTTGTGGGATGTGAGAGGGAAAGCAGAAGCTGGAGATATCAATCTTGGACAATCTAGATATTGTCACCCAGGAAGGGAGTGTGGATAGAGAAAAGGGCCTGTGACTGAATTCTCCAAAGTTTAGAGCAAAAATTCTCCACAGTGGTATGAGCAAAACCAGGAGATTGGAGCACGGTGACCTGGAGGCTAAGCTGAGAACGTGTTTTAACAGGGAAGATATAAACAGCTGCATCAGATGCTACACAGAGGTTGCGTTTGATGAGTCTGTGGATTGCACCTGAGCTTTAAGATCATTAGATTTGACCTTTTTGAGGAAATCCATTTGCATACTAGAAAAGAATAGCTTCCCTGGATTCATGGAAACAAAAGTCTAATTGGAATGAGTAAAGGAACAAAGAGGATAGGTAAAGACGTGGAGACCATGGGTCAAGTTTACTAATTCTTAACATCTACAGGAGTCATAAATTCCTACAAGTTTTATGCAGAATTTTGGGCATATGGTAACAAGTCGTGTTTCCCAGGAAAAGAAGCCAGGTCTTTTCTCATAGATTTAAAAGACTGTGTCACCGACACTTGGCACTAGAGGCCCCGTGGCTGGCCCAGGACTGCCACCACTCTCAGACTAAACTGAGAGGTGGCGCCTTCACCAGGTGCTAGTTCCCTGCTGTGGTCAAGGACACGGGGCTCCCAGCCATTTAAAAAGAAGGGGGAAAAATAGCGATTTCTGTTTTCCGTAAGTTGAATCCCTTTAAAATTTAACTTTAAGCCCAGCCGAGTGCCTTAGTTGGTTGGAGTGTTGTCTCACACAGCAAAAGGTTGTGGGTTCGATTCCCGGCCAGGGCCCCCACCTAGGCTGTGGTTCCAGCCCTGATCAGGCTGCTGACAGGAGGGAGGCAACCGAGTGATGTTTCCCTCTCCCATCAGTGTTTCCCTCTGTCTCTCTCCCTTCCTCTCACTCTAACACTCAGTAAACACAGCCTCGGATGAGGATTAGAAAAGAAATTTTTAAAAAAGTTAAACACAAAAATCATTGAAAAGATCTAGTCTCAGCTCTGAAAGATTTCTCTAGGCTGAAATAGCACCTGCGTGCGACCTCTAGTGTACGTTAATAAAAATGCAGCTCAAACATTCTACTTCACAGGAACCCATTTGAAAAGAGAGCTTAGAAAAGTGAATTTTTAGAAACCAAATGATGTTCCCTATTGTATACATTGGATCATTCCTATTGTATAAGGATGTATATTACTGCGAATGTATATAATAACAGTAATGTAAGATCTAAATGGTATATAAATAAATTTATAAGTGTATACATGAAAGTAAAACCAAAATATAACAGTATAGACTTAAAAAAATGTTTTTTAGCCACCAGGCAAATGGTAGCTATAGGCTGGGTTTCAGAGAGACTGGTAAGTGGTCATTCTCCATCCATTCATAGAGCTCAAACTGGACTTTAAACTTTCCTTCAAGAGGGGAGGGGTCGTGTAGAAGTAGAAGAGGGTATGGGGGGGATAAATGGTAATGAAAAATACAATAAAATATTAAAAATGTCATTGGTTTCAAAGTACAAAAAATGTAAAAATTTTTATATGCATAATTAAATGTTTATAAAACTTAAAAAACTTTCCTTCAAGATACCATATGAACAAAACTGGCCATTTTGCTGGCCTCTCCTTTTGTAAGAATTGGTGATACGGACGACCTAAAACGGTGTTTCTGTGGCTGGCTTTGAATAAAGAGGGCAGATGTGTTGTGGAGTCTGTAACAATGTACCTGGGGCCTGCAGCATCTGCTCCTAGGAATTTTTAGAGAATGTGGGCATGACCCACCATGTGTTCAACAGTCCTCTTCAGAACATGTCAAGCTCTCTTAGTAGAGGAGTCATGTTTTACAATTTTTTATTTCTTCTAGCAAAGTTGGTACCCAATCGAGTTGCAATAAAAACCTGTTGATTTGAAGAGCATGAAGTGTGCTCCTAGTAATCACTGAGAAAGAACTGTGAGAATGAGGGGCTCCAGCAGTTTCCAAATAACATCTGTGAGGAATTCTGAGGGTTCTAGAGCATATCTTTTCCCAAGTGAATCATCAGTGAAGGCTGTCAACACCAATGCAACTCATAGACTATGTATACGTGCAACAAAATCCTTGGATGAGTTGACCTATTTAAATGACTTATATTCTTCTGGGCCAGGCATTTGCAAAGTGGGGTCCCTGGACTTGCAGCCTCATCATCTTGGAACTTGATGGAAATGTAAATTCTTGAACCCCACCTGAGACCTACTGAGCCAGTTCCAAGCAATCTGCTTTTAATAGGCTCCTTGATAATTCAGATGAAGTCTAAACTTTGGAAACCACTGTTATTGGTCAAACCTATACTGATAAAGATTGAAGATGCTATTGTGCTCTTCAGGCAGTTGGAGAAAAATTCTGTTTGTCATTAAATAGAAATAACTCTTCAAAAAATGTGGGACAGCATTGCAGATTCCAATACTTAACTCATTTTTTCCCTAAATATAACAGCTTATTTGGACACAGGCAAATAATTATAAAATTAGCTCAATAATTTCCCAAAAGACCCATTTTCTCTTGAAAGTCATGGTTTTATAATAAATAATCATTCTGATATAAAATAGGCAATTTTATATCTATTTTACAAGTATACTTTCTTTGTCACTAAGATTACCTGCAGGTGGATTTTTAATGTGGCATTCATCTTTCTTAATATAAAGTTCTTCTTCCAGTACTTCCTTAATTCTCTTATGTGGCTCACAATATAAAAATTTCTTCCCTATAAAGACATCAACAAAATTGGTTATGTATAATAAATTCTTCCCAACCTTCTAGCCATTATACCTACATGAATATCTTTAAAAAAAAAGACATATCTTTCCATACAAATGCAAATGATTTACCTTGCCGACTATTTTTGAAAGATCTCTTTCATTCTGGCTTCTGGTTCTTTTTTTGGTACTTCACACTATTCCAATTCTGGGGGTAGTTTAAGATACCTCTTTTAGGTATTATGAAGAAGCTAATGTCTTCATTCGCTTCAAGAAAACTTTCATTTATTCAATAAATTCTTATTTAAAGACCTACTCTGCGCTAGGCATTTGGCTAGGTAGGGGCAATGAATATAGCCATGAATAATTCAGATGTATGCATGGAATCTGCAATCCAGATATATAACAGAACAGCATCACCATTATTTAATCATTGTTTCTTAGAGGCTGAATCTGAATTGCAGTGAACCACTTATGGGCAAGTGACTGTGCTGACCTCTAAACCTGACTCTGTATGAACTCTGGGCAATAGTGGAGAACTGTACCATTTGTTCTAAGTAGTTTAGTTGTATTTCTTTGGCTCTGTGTGATCAGACCCCGTCTGTCTCTTCATTCTCTCCTGCTGGCCTTTCTCTCATTCTCTAAACTTCAACATGGCCCTTCCACCCATTCCCACATTCTACATTCTCTGCCTAAACTGTCTCTTCATTGTTTCCCTGGGTAACTTCTACTCAATTTCAGGTGTAGCCTTAAATTTCAGTTCTTGAGGAAAACGTTCCGATCCCACAATCTTCAAATGCCCCTGGTTTCTTCTCATACTACTATCCTCTTTTCTTTCATTTCACTTATTGCAATTGATCTATGGCTTCATTTAGTTTATATACAATTACTTGTGTAATGATTAGTTTAATATATGTTTTCCTCACTGGACCATAAATACCCTAAGGGCAGGAATGTCTGTTTAGTCAGCAGAGTCCTACAACAGAGGTTGGCATCATAGACACTCAGCAAATGTGTGTTCAAATAGAACTAATTATTGTTAAATTAGGTAGAGCTGAAGGCCATTCTGTGCGCATGTCTGCCAGTGTAGCCTTGTCAGTGTCTGGAAACTAGTACTTCCAGTCTCACTTCTCAAATGCTCAATGCAAAGAACCATGGAAAACCTAAACAACCAAGTACTTTAGCTATTCAAGATTTGACTTTAAACTCACAAAGACGTAACAGGTGTCTCACCTTTTCCAGACTAGTCAACAAAGAACACATGTGAATAAATGTGGCTTATGTGCAGCCTGGCCCGAGTGGGGCAAGAGACCTACTACTTCAGGTTGTGGTCCCAGGTTATTCCTGGTCTTGAAGACCCACACACACCCTTAGACACAGACAAGGAAAACATATTTTGTTAGTCTCGTTCTTGTTTCTGTCCGAATGGGCGGGGTGGTACAAAATGGTGGCTGAACTACAACCCGAAAAAGATGGCTGATATCAAACCAGGGAGCCCAAATGGGGGCTTTGCCAAAATGGATATCTGCATAGCAACCTGAGCCCAAGGAGAACCACCAGATATGTTGCCGCTTTGTTCAAAGGGGACCAAGCCCCAGCTCCCACAGAGAGCCAAGCAAAATAAACACCCCCCCCCCACATTCCCTGATTGGGCATGACTTCCCCGGCCCCACTCTGTGGACTAGAGAATCTCACCCGGGTGCATAAACCCCAATAAAGCTCTATACTATCTATCTTTGTGGCTGATTGGCATTTCTTCCTCAGCAGAGCCTAAGAAAACTTTTCAGTTTCTCCACCCAAGACCTAGGAGTCATATGAACGAGAGATGGGATCAGCATTACTCCAGTTTAATTTCAGGATAAACTTTTTTGGTTAAAGTTTAGGCAGAAAAGGTTTTATGAAATGTGGCTGAGGATGGAAAAAAGCCTAAAATAAGTTAGTAGAAAGAAAGAGATCATTTGCCCTAAGTTCAAGTTTTCTGTCACATTTCAGCCCTGCTGCTTCAAGAATTTGCAGAGGAAATTCTAGTACTAAAGGTTTTGAAGAATTGTAAAAAATGAAAGTAGAAAAGAGCCAGTATAGGCATATATTCCATGCTCCAAAAAGGAAGGAAGGAAAGAAAAGAGAGAGAGAAAAAAATACCAAGAGCTTAATGTTGATCTTTACCAACATTTTGAATGAATTGGTCAACAGCTTGATTGTGAGTACAGAGAGGAGCTGTGTTTACTGTGTGATAAGGACTGATGAAAATATTATTATTCCAGACTCAAGTATTTTTTTTCAGTTAGGAGCTAATAACAATTGCTGTAATTTATTGAATGCTACCATGCCCTAAATATCTTACATATATTATCTCTCTTCATCACAATTACCCTATGGGTAGATATAATTATTCCTATTTTATAGGTGAAAAAGTAACCCCCATGTCACGAAACTCATCAAAAAAGTAAAAGCCTTGCCTACCTGACTCTTGCAAACTCAAATTACTAGACAAGCTAGATTAGCGAGATGTACCCACAATGTACCTGCATTTCAGCAGGCATTTGATAAAGTGTAGGAGACAGAATGCCCACACCAAAGATGCTGACTGACAGGTTAGGGGCTACTAGAGACTCTTCTTGGACTTGTTGAGATAATCCAATTTGCAAATTTGGATGCAGGAACTTCCAGCAAACTTGACAAATGTGAGAATGGCACAAACTTGGAGCATGGCAAACTCAGGTCTCAAAGAGCAACTTCTTTTTTTTTAAAAATATATTTTATTGATTATGCCATTACAGTTGTTCTATTTCCCCCCTTCATTCCCCTCCACCCTGCACACCCCTCCCCCACCATTCCCCCCCTTAGTTCATGACCACGTCTCAAGTTCTTTAGATTCTATATTTCCCATACTATTCTTGCCCTCCCCAGATCTATTTTCTACCTACTGTCTATGCTACTTATTTTCTGTACCTTCTCCCCCCTTCTTCTTCTCCCACTCCCCTGTTGCTAACCCTCCATGTGATTTTCATTTCCATGGTTCTGCTCCTGATCTAGCTGTCCTCTTAGTTTGCTTTTGTTTTAGGTGTGGTTCTTAATAACTGAGTTTACTGTCCTTTCACTGTTCATAGTTTTTATCTTCTTTTTCTTAGGTAAGTCCCTTTAACATTTCATATAATAATGGCTTGGTGATGGTGAACTCCTTGAATTTGATCTTATCTGAGAAGCACTTTATCTGTCCTTCCATTCTAAATGAAAGCTTTGCTGAATAGAGCAATCTTGGTTGTAGGTCTTTGGATTTCATGACTTGGAATACCTCTTTCCAGCCCCTTCTTGCCTGTAAGGTCTCTTTTGAGAAATCTGCTGACAGTCTGATGGGAACTCCTTTGTAGGTGACTGTCCCCTTATCTCTTGCTGCTTGTAGGATTCTATCCTTCATTTTAATCTTGGCTAATATAATGATGATGTGTCTTGGTGTGTTCCTTCTTGGGTCTACCTTCTTTGGGACTCTCTGTGCTTCCTGGACTTCCTGGAAGTCTGTTGCCTTTGCCAGATTGGGGAAGTTCTCCTTTATTATTTGTTCAAATAAGTTTTCCACTCATGGCTGTTTCTCTTCCCTTTCTGGTACCCCTATAATTCAGATGTTGGAGTGTTTAAAGATGTCCTGGAGGTTCCTTAGCCTCTCCTCATTTTTTTAAATTCTTGTTTCTTCATATTTTTCTGTTTGGTCATTTTTTTCTTCCTTCTGGTCCACTCCCTTGATTTGAGTCCCAGTTTCCTTTCCATCACTATTGTTTTCCTGTGCATTTCCCTTCATTTCAAATAGTTTAGCCTTCATATGTTCCTCTAATTTGTGGCTAAAATCAACCAGTTCTGTGAGCATCCTGATCACCAGTGTTTTGAACTGTGCCTCTGATAGGTTGGCAATTTCTTGTTTGCTTAGATTTATTGGCTCTGGGGCTCTGAGTTCTTCTTGAGCCATGTTTTGATCTGTCCGTGCCTGTTACATATGAGGAACAGAGCCTTAGTTGTTCACCAGGGCGGGGTCACCCAGGTTGCTGGGTTTTGATGCTGTATGTGGGGGCGGGGTCAGAGAGGGAGCAATAGCAGTCCCTTCTGCTCCTTCCGGCCACAGGGTGCTGCGTGGTCTGTCTTACTGCTCGCTCCTTTGCTGGTTTATCTGCACACAAATGTGTGACCTTGGTCAGCCTGCTGCCTTGCGCCTTCACTGGGTCCACCCGTTGCTTCCCCACATCTGGGATCCGCCCTTGGCTGCCCGTGCACCTGTGTTGGGGGATCTTTTTTGCCCAACCCGCTCTGCTGCTGGCTCTGCCCCTCTTACCGATCTGGCTGAGTGTTCGTTGTTGTCGGACTCCCGTATTGTTCCGTTCTCTGTGATTTGGCTCTGTGATTTTAGTTTTTTTGTCACTAAAACTTTGTGGTTTTTAGACTTGGTTGTGTGAGAAGGCACAATGTTTCCACCTACGCCTCCATCTTGGTGGAAGTCCTCAAAGGGCAACTTCTATATCTGGAACGAAGTGCTGAAATCTATAGGATGCTATTGATGGGGTTAACTATAACAGCATGTACTGGGGACCAAACAAATGAACTGCATAAGTATAGGATAGAAAAGGCCTGGCTCAAGTATTTTCAAATGTACAGAGCAGAGGAAGAGAAACCATGGATGTCACAGACTGCATTTGTTAGATGTGTTAATAATATAAAGTGTCTGCCAAAATAGCTAATAATGTTCAGATCAAAGCAGGGTATAGTCCCACCACACTATTCTAATCTGATCATATCTAGAATCCTGGATTCAGTGATTTAATAAAGTGGAGAATATTGGAAGAGATTAGTCATCACGAGGAATGTGCTATAAATTATTTCAAAGGTAATACTGAAGTCTGTGAAAGATTGATGGGTGCTCAGATTAAAATGAAACTATTTTTATTTTACAAGGATGGAGTTGAAATTTCAATCAGAAAGGACTACACTTTATCTGAGTATATTTAATAGCAGATTTGTGACTAGGGAGTTGAAGCTGTAGAGTAACTGAAGACCTTTCCAAAAAATAGACTAAAGACTTTTCCAAAAAACATTTGAATTGAATGAGTACTTTGTGTGGGTGTGAACAGCCTGTTTCTGCTTAGGCTGCGGCCCTAAAAGGAGGCTTTCGGGGAAGCTGAGGAAGAAACTGTATATTCCCATGCACTGACTTTGTGAGCTCCAGGTAGTTTACACTCTTGCCTCACAATTCATCACTCACTTCCCTGCAACTTTCCCAATGCCTAGCATGCAGTAAAGAGTCCGTATTTGTTGAATCCACGAATGAATGATTAGTTCTACCTTTTACACTTACAACCACAGGAATAAAAAACCTTTAAATTCTAGCATCTTTAATGAAAAAAATTCCCGGATAGAATTTTGTTCAAATAAGGAATTACTTAAATATACTAAACATGTTAATATACTGAATTCAGTTGCTCTAAGGCCTCTGCATGCTGTTGATGATAATAATAAAAGAAATGAAGTATCATAATCAGTCGCGTTAGGGCTGATGCCAGTGGAAGAGGCCCTTTCACGAGGAGGCAGAGGTTCTGTGACTTCCTGATGAGAGAGAGGTCTTTTGGGAGGATAGTGTGTGACCCCCTGGGGCAGGAGAGCTGAGCCTCTTCAGCTCAACCCTTCCTCCTGGGGATGGCTGAGCACAGAGGGACTTGGTGGAACGGAGACCACTTTCTGGAGCGGCAACGAGGATGTGCCTCAGAAGGGCTGGCAACCGCTTGAGTTCCTCTTTGGCTTATTATTTTGACCATCATCATTTCCTTAGCACCTACTGAAAACCTGTGGGGATCCAGGGACTGTGAAATACCTGTAAATTCGTGGAACACTATGGATGAGTGCTGCAACCTGGCATGGACTCAAGTTACAACAATGTTGGTTGTACCTGTGGACCAGAACTGCCTTTACATATTTGAATACTGTCTGTGCGTTTGGCAGGGCAGAGAGGGGACAGCAGTTACAAGGTGGCCTATAATTGTGAGGTTCTAGATGGATTAGGTAATAATGTATGGACTGAAAGTTCAAGAGATGAGAGTGTAAGTGTTTTAAGTATTTCTTCAGCACTGACTGAGTGACTGTGGTCACATCACTTCCTTTTTTTCTAGTCTAGACTTCAGTTTCCTGGTCTGTAAAATGAAGGAATTGGCAAAAATGATCTACATGTCTCCCTGTATAAAATTTATGCATTTTATTATATATTTTAAGTAAATATTATATATAACATTTTAATCATTTTATATTTTTATAAATCATATGTATACATTTTTTCCAATACTTTCCAGGCCAACGTTCCTACCAAGTAAGTCTCAGGCTGCCTGGGGAAATGGACTGGATGCTTTCTGCCACAGTGCCATCACCTCTCTCTTTGCCAAACCAGCAGCTCCAACCCCTCCCTCCAAAATCTTGGCTTCAGTCAGTCTCACTCCGGTTTTCCCGTTCCCTTCTCACCAGTTCTCCACGCTGCACGTCCCTCTGCGCACGGTCCGCGGCTGCTGGGGAATACACCTTGTTTGCGGGACGCCTGGGGGCCACTGGAGCTGGGCTCCCAGCTAGTTCCGCACGCTAGCCCGGCCTCCTGCCGAGGCTGCTCCCCGCCGGGGCTCGCCTCGGGCGCCACCACGGTAGTCATTACCGCCACCTTCTCCACCCTCCTGCCGCCTGTGTCTTTGCCACTGGCCTCCTCAGTTCAGCCGCAGGCTGCGGGAGAATGCGAGGCGTCTCCGGTTGCCATAGTGACTAGGGATCCTCCCCGCCCCCAGCCGCTTTCTGCAGGCTTCTCCCCAGCCCCAGAGGTCCCGCGTGCCCTAGAAGCTACTAGCTGCAATTAGTTACTGACCAAAGCAAAGCTCTGGCTGTTAATCTCTCCTTTGTTCCTCACATCAGTTTCGCAAGACAGACTTTACTCTGGAAAGGAAACAGATTCAGAAATAGCTAAAGAAATTGTCTGAGGCCATACGGGAAGGAAGTAGCACAGCGGGACTCCGAATTCAGAAAAGTCTAGCAGTCTAGCACCGGGGCCCAAAGAATAATCACCTTAAAAAAACAGGTAGGGGTGGGAGCTGGTATTGGACAGGTGAGTTGAAGGTAAAGTCGCTGGTTTCACACAACACTTATGCTTAGCTTGCCCACCCCCTACTACACACAACGTGATTGAGTAAATGAATGTTGAGGATCTCCCAGTTTTGGATTCTAAGTTTTGATTATTGTTGTTGTTATTAAACAACTCTCATAGTTTCTAAGCACTTTTGTATTCACAATCTATTTCAATTTATCCGAGGTCTGTGGGGGAAAGTGGACAGCCATTGTTAATATAAGGAGAGCAGTTTGTGCTATAGGGACTGGAATGCACATGTGTGAACAAGGATGACCTCACTGTACTGGCCAGTGGGGGCAGTAGAGCCGTTGAGTGAGCCTGTGTACTGTGTGGTTGTCACATTCAAAACGACTGAGCCAGTAAAGCGATGAATCTGCATCAAATTTTGTGTTCAGCTTGAACATTCCCCTGCGTAAACTATTGGGATGTTTCGGAAGGCTGCAGCTATAGGCAACTGGTAATTGGCAGCTTCATCAGGACACCACCCTGCTGATGCATCATGTCTCACATCTTGTGAAGAGATTTTTGGTGAAGCATCAAATCACTCAGGTGACTCAGCCCTGCTACAGCCCAAATTTGTCACCCTGCCATTTTAGGCTTTTCTCAAAACTAAAATCACCTTTGAAAGGGAAGAGATTTCAGGCCACGGATGAGATTCAGGAAAATATGAAGGTGAAAATACAACATTCAGCCATTGGCAGCTGATGGTGATTGGGAGAACTGTGTGAGGTCCCAAAGTACCTACTTTGAAGGTCCTTGTCCTATGTACAATGTTTCTTGTATCTTCTTCAATAAATGTCTCTATTTTTCATAGTACATGGCTGGATACTTTATGGACAGGCCTCTGTATACTCAATTTTACAGGCAAGGAAACCCAATTCAGAAAAGTTTGATAGCAAATGGGAAAATCTAGAGTTTTATTCGTAGCCTGAGGTAGCTTCTGTGTTGTTTTTGCAGCCATATAAGAAGGCCTTTTGTTGTGTTACTTTATGAAAGCTCAGTGTTCATTATTTTACAGAGTTAAATAGTTGTATAAGGCTTGCAACCAAATACAAGGTACCCATCTGCCCTCCCCTTACCCCAGAGGCAACCACTTTCACCTCTTTTGGCTGATAATTACTTTTTACAACCATAAAACCAAATGCTTATGTTGCTGCTATTTTTCAATTTTTGGTATCATATGTTGATTTTCTACTATGGAAGATGAGAATTTAGTTAGCGTTCATGCTCACCATCTCACATATACTTACTGCCCCCTCCAATTGCTAGTACAGACAAGCTGTAATGTCGGCTGGAGCATCTTACATCTTACATTGACTATGCAACCCCCCATGATGGCTGCACTATGTAATATCCTATGGCCACTTTTCTCTTCTGGAGTTAATGATTGCCTTGTTTTTCAGTTTGCTTGATTTTTAATGTCCTTATCACTTATTAATGATAAGTGATAAGGACTCTTCACCCAAACTCTTCATCCTTGTGTAAATTCCTTCATATGTCCAAACACATGAGGGATTCTATCAGTTTCACCTTTTCTACAGAGTCCCTTTCAGGGGGTCTGGGCTGGTCAGTTGCTCTCTAGGCCTGTGGCCGCACAGCTGTTGTCTAAGGACTCCCCTTCACCGTGGTACCTCTCTCCTGCCTTGGATTCCTTATCTGTTAGTCCCGTCTTTCTCTCTTTCTTGGTTTACTCATTATTTGGTGGAGCATATCTCCAGTAGCACTTTGAGAAATGGTCTATGGGACATAAAATGTCCAAGTCCTTACAGATTCGCAAGTGTCTTTATTTTACTCTCTGTTGAAGCAGAGGTCTAGCTGGATAAATAACTCTAGATTGGAAATAATTTTTTCCTCCGAATTTTTTTTTAATCCTCATCCAAGGACATGCTCATTGATTTTAGATAGAAGGGAAAGGAGGGAGAAAGAGAGGGAGAGAAATATTGGTATGAGAGAGACGTGGATTGGCTGCCTTTTGTACATGCTCCACCTGGAGACCAAATCTGCAACCTAGTTTTGTGCCCTGACCGGGAATCAAACCTCAGACCTTTGGGTTTGTGGGCCAACACCCAACCAACTGAGCCACCCCAGCCAGGGCATGTCTTCAGAACTTCAAGTTCATTGCATCATTGTCTTCCTGTTGCCACAGAATTCTGCCACCATTCTGGTTCTGTTCCCTTGTTACAGGACTTGTTTTTCTCTTTCTAGAAACTTGGAGGATATTTGTCTATTATTTTGAAACTTCATACCTCTTGATATGGTTTAATTTTCAACCATTTTGCTGGGCACTCAGTAGAACATTTAATCTCAAATCTCATGTTCTTCAGAGACTTTTTAAAAAAATCACTTTATTGCAATGACTTTGTTTTCTCTGTTCTCTCTGGAACTGTTATTTGCATGTTAGATCTCCTGATTTGTCCTCTAATTTTCTGACCTGTTTTTTTAACCCTCACCTAATGATATTCTTTCATTGCTTTTAGAAAGAGGAAGGAGAGAGGAAGGGAGAGAAACATCAGTGTGAGAGAGAAGCATCTACTGGTTGCCTCCTGTTCACACTCCGATGGGGTATCACTCACACTCAGACGAAGGACAGAACCCTAACGGGAAATCGAGCCCACAACCTTTCAGTTGGGGGATGATGCTCCAACTAACTGAGCCACACCAGCCAGGGCCTGACCTATTTCCTATCTGTATTTTTGTACTATATTCTGGGAGATTTCCTCAATATTTTCTAGTTTTCATTTCTGCTGTCATGATTTTAATTTCTCAGAACTCTCTGAATATTCTTTTTTATGTAACACCTTGCCTTTCTATATCTGAAAATATTAATAATATACTTCATTTCCAACTTTTTCCTCCTTGTATAATTGCTATTTCCTCCAAGTTATCTATTCCTGTTTGTTTTCGTCTCTGTTTTAGTAGCTTTCCTCTATGTTCAGGCGACCCTTAACAGTCTTGCTCTTTCTAATAGTGCAGAATATGAATCTGTGTACACAGGTGGGCCTTACCAACTGAAAGTTTCACTGATGGGTGATCTGTCTGGGCTGTTTAGTTGGGGAACTTCTGATGTCAGTATTTTAAGATCTATCCCTGGAACTGCTCTGATACTCCAGAGGGTGTCTCCTTCAGTCTCCCGATTGGCAGGTATCTTCAGTCTGGTGCCAGCACCCTAGAAAGTGAGTTGGAGAAGAGAAATGAAGGCTCGATGTGGAATTACCCTGTCTCAGTATGGTGGTCCTGCCCCCAATTATACTTTGTACCTTCCAGTCTAGAAAGTGTGACTTCTCCCACAGAATTACCTCCAGTCATCTTCTGGGGTGAGGTCATCCATCTAGTTGCTCAGAATAAGGGAACTGAAGGTCTACTTGCTTTATTTTTATTGTGATTAAGTATAGATAATATAAAATTTACTATTTTAATAATTTTTAAGTATAAAATCAATGGCATTAAGCACATCCATAATGTTGTACAGCCATCATCACTATCTATTTCCGAACTTTTTCATTGTTCCAAACGGAAACTCTACCCATTAGACCGGTATTCCCAATTTCACCCCTTTCAGCCCCTGGTAAGCTCTATTCTACTTTCTCTCTGTGAATTTGACTACTTTAGGTGTTTCTTATAAATGGAATCACAGTATTTTTCCTTTTGTGTTTAGCTTATTTCACTTAGAACCATGTTTAGTATGTATCAAAACTGCATCCTTTTTAAAGAATGAATAATATTCGATTGTATGTGTATACCATATTTTGTTTATCTATTTATCTGTTAATGGTCATTTGGATTGTTTCCACCTTTTACCAATTGCTAATAATGCTGCAATGAACATTAGAAATTATATGTTTGAGTTCTTGCTTTCGATTCTTTTGAGTATGTACCTAGAAATGGAATTGCTGGATGACATGGTAATTCTATGTTTAAATTTTTGAAGAACCATCAAAACTTTTCAAGCAGCTGTGCAATTTTACATTCCCACCAGCCATGCAAAAGGATTCCAATTTCTCTATATCCTTGCCAATATGTGTTACTTTTCTCTCTTTCCTTTCATAACAGCTCTCCTAAGTAGTGTGAAATGGTGTATCTCTGTTGTTTGGATTTGCATTCTTCAAATGACTAGTGGTGTTGAACATCTTTTCATGAGCTTTAGGCTATTTGTGCATTTTTCTTGGAGAAATGTCTGTTCAAGCATTTTGCCCATTTTGAATTGTGTTTTTTACTGTTTTTAAGTCGTAAGAGTTCCTTATGTATTTTGGATGTTAATCTCTTATGATATATGGTTTGTAAATATTTTCTCACATTTCATGGGTTGTCTTTTCACTTTGTAGATAGTGTCCTTGCTTGATTACAAAACATTTAAGATTTTGATGTAGTCCCATTTATCTATTTTTTCATTTGATATCTGTGCTTTTGGAATCATATCCAAAAAATCATTGCTAAATTCAATATCATGAAGATTTTTTCCTTATACTTTTTTCTAAGAGCTCTATAATTTTGACTCTCATACAGGGTGAGGAAAAAGTAGGTTTATAGTTGTTAGTATGGAAAATTATGCAATAATAAGTAATGACACAAGAATAAACTTTGTGTTGTACATATTTATCACCATAAATCCACTTTTGCCTCATCTTGTTTTTAGGTCTTTGACTATTCTGAGTAAATTTTTGTATTAACATTATTGTGTGATGTAGGAGTCCAACTTCATTCTTTTGCATGTACATATCCAGTTTTCCCAACACCACTTGTTG